GCTTTTGACCTTTGTCCGCTCGTCACGGTCGGTAAAGTTTGGAACTGCAGCTCGTGTTTAAATGAGAAATAGACACCATCTTTTTGAAATGAATGTCAATCGACAGGCAGCGAAGGTGCAGACGACCCGAATATTTGCCGCGCGCCAACGCGTGTCCACCCCAAATCAGACGGGAGAGGGGACCCAGTTCATTACTTATATTTGTGTCGCCTTCCCTCCTTCAAATATCCCATCTCTATGCAAGGTAGTTTGAGCGTGAACATTCCTCATTTTTATGGACGATCTGGCGTAGTAGTTTTGAAAGGACATCGTCCGTCCTGCTGTGTGTTACCCGATGAGGAAACAACACGGATTACGAACTCCAGAACGTGTTTGCCATGGTAATGTACAGTTGTCATCATCCTCAAATGAACTTTGAACCTTCATATTAAACTCTTTTATCCAATTTTAAATATTTTAAAATATTTAAAAAGAAACTCATGAAGTTGAAAGAAAAATATATATATTACTGGAAAATGTTGACTATCCCATCATCATTACCACATTTTTATGTTAGGATAGCCAGCTGTTTTTGTACATTTCGGAATTTGCCGTCGTTGGCATTTCAGTACATTTTACAATAAATTACTGCTAATAGTTGAAAAGAGTATTTAAATGTTGGTATTGATGTAATCACGCATCAGATAACTGCCAGGTAACGTTCATTTTATGATCTTTCATGTACTATATTTGGTAGTGCCAAGCTAGCAGACGAAGATACGTTCCGTTGAATTCCGTGTAATTGACATATTGAACGTTTCTGTTATGAACAGATCAATAGTAAAAGAGAAATTTCTCCTTTGTTCTTTCGTTTATAACGTCAACTATTAGACAGAGATGACGTGTGCTGTTCGATTTTCCCTATCGATTTCAGAATTAATTAGCAAATAACAGAGAAATGAATAATTTCCATCTCGTCAACTAACGACGGAATCAGAATTCAATGACTATACAAAAAATAACTACGGGAACAACAGAGACACCAAAAGAAAAGGGAAGACAACAACAGGAACTGCGGAGACACCGAAACAAAACAAAAGACAACAATAGGAACCGAGGAGACACCAAAAGAAAAGGAAAGACAACAATAGGAACCGAGGAGACACCAAAACAAAACGAAATACATAAACTTGAACTGAGGAAACACCAAAACAAAACGAAATACAAAAACGGGAACTGAGGAGACACCAAAACAAAAGGACAGACAAGAACGGGGACCGAGGTGACACCAAATTAAAAGGAAAGACAACAACAGGAACTAATGCAACACCAAAATATGATGCCAGACAAAAACAGAACTAGGAGTAAAACGAAAGACAACAAAAACGAAAGACAAACTGAAAAGGCAACAAAACAATGGACAAAAAAGGGAATCGAGGCAACTACAGAAACAAACGGAAAGACAGCAGGAACAGAGCACCAAAACAATTATAAAAACTACAACGGGAACTGAGGCAACACCAAATCAAAACGACATTGTGAAAAAAGACGTCTTCCGTCAAAAACAGATCACAACAATAAAAAACCACAATTAACCCATTTCAATCAAACATTAAAATAGCATATATAGTAAAAATGATAATTATAATAATTCGAGGTTTATTTATGTGCCGCTTTATCACAACCTAGTTCGTAGGTCGTCTCAAAGCGGTTCACAAATTATTATCCGTGGTTATAGGGCCTTTGCACATTCAACAATTTCAGCACTGTCCAACCACGTACTCATTTACAGCTGAGTAGACTGGAACAGATACAACACAGTGCCTTGCCGTGACGCGAACACGCAACCTTTCGGTCACGAGCCCGGCGTCATACAACAAGAATACCGTGCCCCTAGTTAAAATTCAGATCACGATGGCTGCCTAACATTTTCGAACATAGATTCAGCCTCTCAGCTAGAAAGTCATGTCCAAGTATTTTATTGGTCAGCAGGAAGAATCCATCTAGGAAATGGTTTGTTCTGTTCGCGGTTAATCAAACTGATTCTCATAGTTCAATTTTTAATCAGGATCTTTTTCGTAGTATTCACAAGGCTATCATAGTTAAACTTTAAATGTGAATTATTTTGTTCGTGTGTGTGTGTGTTGCGCTCATCTTTCAAGATACAGGGTGGTATACTCTGCGCGTGGATTTCTTAGTTCCGGAGGTTTGCCGTAACCTTGATAGCCACAGTAACACTGTATCTCCTTTGGGTAATGGTACGGCTCATAACATGCACACGTCACTCAGTATATAATCTGAAATAAATAAGTGACCCTTTAATGTTCGAAATTCATAGACTAACGGTTTTATGTACCTTCATCACCATCAACAGTACTTTATAACAGTTTGGATTTCCAACGTCCTGGCCCTAGCATTACCGATGTTCAACAGTACTTTATAACAGTTAGGATTTCCAATGTTCTAGCCCTAGCATTTCCGATGTTCAACAGTACTTTATAACAGTTTGGATTTCAACGTCCTGGCCCCAGGCATTACCGATGTTCAACAGTACTTTATAACAGTTTGGATTTCAACGTTCTGGCCCCAGGCAATACCGATGTTCAACAGTACTTTATAACAGTTTGGATTTCAACGTTCTGGCCCCAGGCATTACCGATATTCAGCAGTACTTTATAACAGTTTGGATTTCAACGTCCTGGCCCCAGGCATTACCGATGTTAAACAGTACTTTATACCAGTTTGGATTTCAACGTTCTGGCCCTAGCATTACCGATGTTCAACAGTGCTTTATAACAGTTAGGATTTCCAACGTCCTGGCCCCAGGCATTACCGATGTTCAACAGTACTTTATACCAGTTTGGATTTCAACGTCCTGGCCCTAGCATTACCGATGTTCAACAGTACTTTATAACAGTTAGGATTTCAACGTCCTGGCCCTAGCATTACCGATGTTCAACAGTACTTTATAACAGTTTGGATTTCAACGTTCTGGCCCCAGGCATTACCGATGAGCCCTAAAAGGACGAAACAGATGCGGAGTGCAGTGGAATTCATTTTGGCATACTGTAATCTACTGTGCGTGTTACGTTCATCTAACGTTCATCTTTCAAGAAAGTAACATTGACGTCGACATGTTTAGTCCAATCTTTTTTCTACCGGTCATATTGCAGAATCAACTTTGAGATTATGCGTCACGTTTTTGAAGTGTAAGTGTTTTGATTGTTGGTAAATCCAGGGAGACGTGATTGCCCTATACTTTTTCATGCTTGACGAGAACGTTTAAATATATAATGTTTGTATTTCCTCTGCGGCCATCTTGATAGAGGCCTTTATTACGACGTGGGTTTAGTATACCTGTGATCGTGATATAATTATTGGGATTATAAGGATATCATTTAAACACTGTTTCAGTGTGGTATCGTGTCTTGTGATGTTTTGGGTATAAAGTGTCAAAACCAATAAGCAAGTAACAACCGCTTTCAGGAACGCGACTCAACGACCAGCGTTTGTTTAAAGAACATGCGGGGGAGTTGTAATGGGGCCAATTACAGCCAGATATCTGCAGTATTTCGTTTCGTTTTTCGTTTTCATGCATCATAAGTTACCGTTTTTGGTCATTCCAAATCAATTTTCATTCAGGTTTTTTCTTTGCGATAATGCTGTGTTATAATTTCTGGCCGTTTTCATATTCAGACAAATGTTCCAATAGCATTAATGCATAACAAATATGTCAGTGTTCGTTTTTGATGTCTGCTGAGTAACATTTTATCTTCTTCTTAAACTAAAAAACATGTGCTCCAAATACAATAAAGATTCAGGAAGCTTTTCATTGTCAATGAAGAACTAACATTGTAAATTATATGGTGCCCATATAATATGCTTATAGGGTGGGGTTCTCAACTGTTTTCTTCATGTGAGTAAGTCCTCAGGGATCAGGCAAGACCCTGGTGTCAAGTTTGGTAGCCTGTAAGCAGGGATGTATTCATCTCTTCATGCTTGACAATTTTATATACTGTTATAGTGTGGGAATCCCAACTGTTTCCATGTCATGACCCAATTCCTCTATTGCGACCCCATCCCTCTGGCCCCAGGGGCTGCACCATCTTCGTTTATACAAAATATGATCAGCTTGTCCTGGTGATGTTTTCAACCAAATATGGGTACAACCGGTGCAGATGCTTAGAAAAATAGGATTTTGAAGTAAAAACATGTACTTAATATTTAAGGCACTGTTCACCTGGCTCCAGGGGATACACAATAAATATTTACACACAATATGATCATCTTAGCCCAGTATTGTTACAGACCAAATACATGCATGGTAAAAATCTGTGTAGCCTTTGACAATGAACACCTCACTCCTGTCATATTTCAGGCTATTTATTGTCACATTTTGTGTAGTCTTTCTGGAGATGTAGTCTTTGAAAGGCTAAAGTTCACCAATTTTGGACAACACTCTTCCATTATACGTTTTTCCTTATTTTTGTTTTTTGTTTTTCGTTTTTTTTGTTACAAATATTTTATTCCCCCAGCTTTTTTCCCCATAAATATGTATATACTGCTTCGAAGCAGATATATATATTATACAAATTTTAATTATGTTAGGATGCAACAAATCAGTGGTTCAGGAGGAGTGAGGTTTTCTAGAACAAAACAGAACAAATAAAGTAATACAATTCACATTACTATTGGCAGCCCACCATCCTTATGTTTTGTCAAGTGATAATAATTTTTGACATTAATTTTTGAAGGTTTATACAACGACAACATCTCTCCAATTTATTACACTTGTACTTCAATGAACATAATTCTAATATGTTGGTTTTTCTATCTGCTAGGTGTGAAATTAATTGTTCATGTATTTTCAAAGACTTAATTACTGTATTCTCCAACTAGATAATATTGTAAAATTGTTGTTATTCTGCAAATAGATTTTGCTGGTGTTCTTAAATCAGAATGCATTTAGTTAAAAAGTGACATGCGTAGATAGCAACAGAAAAGACAACAAACCATGAAACTTTCTATCTTTTTTTTTTTTTTTATTAAATTATTTTTGGCTTCATTTTCAAAACAAAGCGCGCTTCCGAGTTGCCAGACGTAGAACCAGAGATACTTGTCCAATCAGGCCCATACAGTGATGTCAGCTTTATAGTGTATTGGGCACACTTGACTTCCTGTTTACAACGAAGATCTTGGTGTAGAATATAAGATTCTAAGGACGATTGAACTCATTCACTCCTGGAGACACGTTTGAACTCTTCCAATTCATAGGTTGGAATAGTTCATTGTGAAGCTTCAGGGGTGAATTAGCAAAAATCCTAGTGCCTCACAAGTCCCCGTCCCTGTGGTGAGAGGTTGGGAGGTAGTGTTGAGCACCAAGAGACAGCAGCTTCATCAGCGCGGTCATAAAGAGGAGAGCAAGGAAACAGGACGCTAACAGCACCAAGGTAAACCAAAACATGTCTCCATGGTAATTCGTCTGGCTTAAGTTCAATCCAACTCCTCAGGTCTTACAGGATGTGGTATAGGAACCATGGACTTCTTCTCTATGTCCCGCGACAGGGCTTTCCTCATATCTGTAACATACCAAAGAGATTCTAGATCAGTACTGGTATCACCTTAAATGTCTAAAGTTACTATACACTGCATCTAAATGGAAGATTTGCTTCTAAGCTGTGATAATTTGTGGCAGATTCATATTGTTGTGTCATAATGAGTAAAATATGTCTAACCTCAATTAGGTATTTTCATCCAATCAAGATCCTTTTAAAACTGCACCAATGGAAGGAATATAGAAATAGTTTTTTTCTCTTTAACGCTTAATTTTTTGTTATGAAATGCAATACATTTCATGTTGGTGTAAATTTTGCAAGGTCCAAACTGATATTTTCACATTTAAGAAATCAACAATTTAAGCCAAGGCATGGTTGAAAACTACTAAATTATTGTACCTATACATGCATTGCAATGATAATGATTTTTAGATTCTAAGGGACGTAATTCTTAACACAAATCACAGGTATAATGTCATGTGAAAGGTAGTATACATCCTTAAGGAAGATGACTCTAGCACAAATCAGAGGTATAATGTGTGATACAGCATTTATATTCTCAAGGGAGATAACTCTAACATAAATGTGTAATGTAGAATACATCCTTAAGGAAGATGACTCTAGCACAAATCAAAGGTATAATGTGTGATACAGCATTTATATTCTCAAGGGAGATAACTCTAACATAAATGTGTAATGTAGTATACATCCTTAAGGAAGATGACTAGCACAAATCAAAGGTATAATGTGTGATACAGCATTTATATTCTCAAGGGAGATAACTCTAACATAAATGTGTAATGTAGTATACATTCTTAAGGAAGATGACTTTCATGCAACTAACAAGTGTAATGTCCTAGGCCTCTTGCGTTTCCAGTTCAACCAGTTTGTCTGATTTTTTAATGTAAAATTTTGGGTATAAATCCTGGAGGAGCTGCACATGTTTATGCAGGCCTTGCAAGGCTTTGTTAAGGCCTGAAAGCAGCATCAGTTGACTAGGTTAGACTTTAATTCACAAGGAACAGCTCTGGTCTAACTGGTTGAACCGTTTGGATCATGATAAACAAATGTGTCCTTAGTTAGTATGTAGATCCAAAAGGGAGGTAACTCTAACACAAACAAGGCATTACAAGTGATACAAATCCCCTCGCATTCACACATTGTGACATATATGTAAAAGGAAATGAAGTGACCTTGACCTTTAACAATGTAAACTGAAAGGCAAACTTGTTCAAGGCAGGGCCATACCAAACACTTGTATCAAGTTTCATGAAATTCTGTTGAGGAACGAAGTTGATAGAGCGATGACAAAGTTTTTGGTAAAAATAGTAAAAGTGACCTTGACCTTTAACGCAGTAACCTGAAACATGACTTGTTTAAGGCAATGCCATACTAAACACTTGTATGAAGTTTCATGAAATCGCATTGAGGAATGAAGTCGATAGAGCGATGACAAAGTTTTTCTAAAAATAGTAACAGTGACCTTGACCTTCAACGTAGAAACTTGAAATACGAACTTGTTCAAGGTATTGCCATACTACACAATCGTATAAAGTTTCATGAAATTCTGTAGAGGAATGAAGTTGATAGAGCGATGACAAAGTTTTTCTAAAAATGGTAAAAGTGGCCTTGACGTTTAACGCAGTAACCTGCAACGCAAACTTGTTCAAGATATTGCCATATCAAACACTTGTATGAAGTTTCATGAAATTCTGTTGAGGAATGACGTCGCTAGAGCGATGACAAAGAGTGTAACATTCGTCGTACGTACAGGCAGAATCCTATATCCCCTTGAACATTCGTTGCAAGAGGATAGTTAGTGAAACATGTTCAAATCATAAGTGTGATGTGTAAGGTAGCACGTTTATCCTTAAAGAGAAACTTTAGCAATAAAAAATTGGGAAAGTTATGACTGTGCAATTATAAGTACATTTACATCCTACATAACAATGTTCTCCTCCAAGAAATTTGATTATATTATTGGTGCTTACGCCAGATTTCCTGAATCTTAGATATTGATTCAGGTAAACGTTTAGTACTACTTATTCACCTCATCTGAGCGAACAATTTCTCACCAGCATGAATGGTTACAAGGGGATGAAATTCAGGCATGATATATGATCCAACTATATTGGAATCACAAAACCAATTTCCCGTTTCAGCAAAATGATAAATGTTCCCCATTTGGTCATGAAAATAAATGTCGTTTTTCAAGTAATTCTAGACCTCTGCGTTGTTGCTGTGCTTGCAACATAAATTTCCAGACATTTTGCGGACAACTGTTATTTCCCGTAAGTATTCTGTAATGGATGACATCTAGGCTCATAAGTCCCAAGGAATCCTATTCCACGATTACAAACAGTTATGCATCGTTGAGATCATCACCATTTTGTATGAATTTATGACTTCAATAACATGGCCGAGAGAGCATGGCCGTAGCAATCCCAGACTGGAGCAGACGTCACGAAATCCATGGAATATCGCCCAACTGTTGTCTTTACATTGAAAGAGTGTAATATGAACAAGAAGACATAAAATCACTTCATCTATGTCAGGACCTTGTAATCACAAAAAACCCTCTTTTTGTGAGTAGCAAATTACACACTGTATTAATTGGACTTCAAGATCATAAGACATTCTCTTTATGTGATTTAAAAAAAAACATTACTGTAAAACAATCTGTAGATATTCATATGGAAAACATTTCTTTCTTTCTTAAAGAATAGTGCTTCCGCTATTGACACAAATAATAAGTTTTTCAATTTTTTATAATTTTTACATTGAGACAGCTGGATTGGTTGCAGCAGTGAGTTAACTTTTGATCGTACATGTACTGTAACATTACACTGATTTTCTCTAGCTGATATACATTGATCAGTCTTGTGAAGCGTAGAGACATTGATCAGTCTTGTGAAGGGTATAGACATACATTAAACTGACTTTTGGAAGAGTATTCACCAGCTGTTTCCATTGTATTTATGGACTTTGTTTTAAACGGTTGTTTATTCAATGAGAATTTTTTCTAAATATTCTTAAATTATTTTTTTGATGATAAAACCCCGAGAGACTCGATCTATAATTTGAAGTAAAAATATTTGTAATCTGTAATTAATTCTATCATGTTTCTTCATGGCCTTTCATATCTTACATGTTTGAAAACATAGATTCTAACAATTGTTTTTAGACCACTGAACACCACTATCAAGTCCAGTTGTGGCAGTGCATCGTAAGTGCACCTAGTGACCCCCGTATACCTCCAGTCCAACTAGAGAAGACCGTGCAGCGGAGTGCACTTTGATAATGCAATCTTTCATGTAAAGGGACTATAAATCAGAACATTTTTGCCCCACCGACACTTGATACGTCTCAGATAAATCATCGTGGGTATTGATCGTGTATCACTAATCATATACGTACACATCGCTAGCGTCAGCCGAACTCAACCAAGCTTTTCTTTCCGTTTTTTTTTCTGATTTTCTCGCATTAATACATTATTTTACTTCACTATCTACATTGTACAATGCAGACTTACACAATACCTACTGTAAACAAATCATCAAAAATTAATCCGAACTACAAATTAGTATGTCTCCCACAGTGATAGGATTCTAGAGGTTTACGCATCTCCGGAACAATCAAATTGGAGGTTGTCACGTGTGTTACCACGGAACAATCAAATTGGAGGTCGTCACATGTATTACCACGGAACAATCAAACAAAATTCTGAAAAATTTGTTTGAAATAATGATTGGGAAATATCCCCTACAATGATAATTCCTGAGCGTATCACGTCTCTGAAATAATTAACTCTAGAGTCTATCCTGTTGGACTACTGACATTGATTAGGAGATCGAGCCCTCAATGAAAACTTATCAATCCAACTTGTAGATTTATACAAGTATAACAAATCCACCTCTATAGACGTATTCAGGGAAGCTTTTCATTGTATCTGTCCTATTGATGGCATCGAGGGGGTTGAGCGTGTTACGTCTACGATGTAATGGGATAATATTTAACTAACTTTATATATACATTGATCAAAAAAGTTTCAACTAGTACCTTATTGTTTCATTGCAGGAGATGTGTTTTTTTTAAAAATAATTTCAAGGCTTTTCAGTACATCTTTTCTAGATTTGAATCATCTTGAATTGCACAAAATCTCATTATTTCTATTGATAGAGATCTTGCAGTAAATTTGCTTTGAGAAGTATACTGTGACTGTGTGTGGTTTGTATTACGTAATATACTATAGACGTTAAATTCCCGTCACTTCAAAGGGACTCCTTCAGTGTAGACAATAACTCAATTTTAGTAAAAATAACCATAATAGTACAGACTGATCACCAGCAATAATGTACACGATGCATTTAATTCCATACACACATAAAAATTGTGATTTAAATTATGCTTTGAAAACGTATTTGTTTCAATCACTTTCCTTGTACATGTATCACTTGTACTAGGTATGTAAAGGGGTGACAATAATAAAATAAAATCATTCATGGAAATTAAAAAAAGAACCATTCAATTTCAAGCTTGAATTAACTGAAATTGTTCGTTTGAAGGTATATCAGTTTAAATTTGTCACTTTTCTTTGCAAAATATCAGACCATGTGCAAAGGAAATAACATTGAATGAAATTACAAATGTGTTTTTTTCTTTCTAAAAAGCATTGCATGACCAGGGATCTAAAGACTTACCAGAGTATTTGTAATTTGCCGAGCTAAATCATATTTTAATGGTCAATCTGTCAGTGTTATCTGCTGTAGGGACTTGCTAGTATACACAAGCTGCACTCAGTAATTTAGTAACAAGTTTCCACCATGAGCACAAACATTAAACTCACTTAAGGGAGCTACCTTTGATCATGTAAATTTGCTTTTATCATGAGAGGTAACATACATGGCTGACTGCGTATACCTGTGTGTGTACCTATCCTGTATGCTGGGAAGTTTTCACTTGGTCGACTTTCGCCCTTCACCAGAATTGATTTATCAAAGCTATAGTCATGCCAGAAAAATAAG